GAAGCTAATCAAAGAAGGTGTTTTTTTTTTTTTTGTCATGCTGTGGTTCCAGTAATTGCAATTTTAAAAAATAACTTAAAATGTAAGCCGAACCAATGAACGTATTTTATTTCCCCCATTAAATATATAGTATGTACCATTGAAAGTGTTTTGTTATATCTGTTCCATAAGTGCAAAATAAATACCTGTTGATCCCGCCAGAAATCCATTGAGTTGATATCTTCCTGTGCTGTCTACAGGGTTCCCCAAGCAATTAACTTTTTATTTTCTCAATTAAATATACATACCATTGAAAGTATTTTGTTATATCTGCTCCCTAAGTGCAAAAAAATACCTGTTGATCCCGTCAGAAATCCATTGAGTTGATATCTTATCTTCCTGTGCTGTCTGCAGTGTGTCCCCAAGCAATGAACTTTTTATTTTCTTAATTAAATATACATACCATTGAAATTATTTTGTTATATCTGCTCCCTAAGTGCAAAAAAAAGAACCTGTTGATCCTGTCAGAAATCCATTGAGTTGATAACTTCTTACGGTGTTCCTCAAGCAGATTTATCATCCCTGCCATGGTTTCTATGTAAACTACAGAACACCTGCCCTATGTTCTGAAGATAAGGAGAGAGGGATGTTCTGTAGTCAGAATGCACTTCCTGGCCTAGAGTGACAATACGACCCTCTGTTATTCTAGTATGGCGAGTGAGCGTTGTCATTCTGCAATAGGACTATATATAACACCTCTTCCTTTACTAAATAATAATAGCAAATATAGGTGCTCAGTAAAAATGCACTTTATTTTCTCTTTAAGGAAGGTCTTTTCTTATAAACCCAAGTAGCTCTGCTGAACATACACAGGTACTCCAGATCCCAGCTTAATCCTTGCAAAAACAGCAGCAAACACTTTTCGTCATGTTTGGTGTTCCCACCAGGTTGTCAGATCCCACCCAATAGGGGCTAAAGGTTGGGGGACCACTTTTGGTTTAGGGTAAGGTCAACCAATACTGGGACAAGGTTTTCTCACCCATTGTCTTTTCATGTCTTTGCAAGGGTTCCATACACCATGTAATCTCAATCGTAAAGTGAAATAAATAAAAATTCCAACAGCAAGCAGGGCATCCTCATTATGATTGCAACAGGTGGGTGGAGCTGGAAACTCAGGGATCCCAGAAAGATAAGCTAGTCTACATATAATGTACTGTAGATGAAATGCTGGACATATGAATGCTCGTATTATTTGACAAGTGAATTTTTAAACTTACATTGGCTAACACAATGAATATTAGCTGAACTTCATGTAGATAATTAAAAAAATATTGAATTGCAAACATGTACAAAGATCAGCCATAATGACCACCCATCTAATATTGAGTAGGTCCCATTTTTACTACCAAAACAGCCCCTTTTGTTGCCAAAATAGCCTTGACTTGTTGAGGCATGGATGCCACTAGACCTCTGAGGGTGTGCTGTGGTATCTGGCACTAAGCTGTCAGTAGCAGATCCTTTACGTCCTGTAAGTTGCAAGGTGGAGCCTCCATGCATCAGATTTGTTTTTTTCAGCACTTCCTATAGATGCTTGATGGGTTGAAATCTGGAAAGGCCAAGTCACCACCTCAAACCATTTTTAAACCATTCTTGCATTGTAGCAGGTGCATTATCCTGCTGAAATAGGTCACTGCCATCAGGGAATACTGATTCCATGGAGGGGTGTACTTGGTCACCAACAATATTAAGGATGGTAGTACACGTCACATTAACATCCACATGAATGGCAAGACCCAAGGCTTCCAAGCAGAACATTGCCCAAAGCATCAGACTGCTTTCCTTCTTCCCATACAGCATCCTGTCACCATCTCTTCCCCAGGAGAGTGACACACATGCAGCGGGCCATCCACACAATGTAAAAGAAAACATGATTGGTCAGACCAGGCCACCGTCTGCCATTTCTCCAGGGACCAGTTCTGATGCTCACATGCCCATTGTAGGCACTTTTGGCTGTTGACATGGTCAGCATGGGCACTCTGACCGGTCAACCCCATACAGAACAAACTGTGATGCCCATTTTTTCTGCTTTCGACACATCAACTTCAGGGACAACATGTTTATTTGCTGCCTATTATATCCCACTGCCAGTCATTGTAATGAGATAATCAGTGTTATTCACTTAACCAATGATCAATGAAAGTACCTAAATCTGTCTTGATATAGCCTTCTGTCATCCTTTGCACAGCACGCTCAGAGTGGGAGTGGAAAAACCAGCACTAATATCCAATCAGGCTCTACTGCAGTGCACATGTGCTGACAGGAAGAGACAGCAGAATGAGAGATAGGATAATTAGTGTTTATCTCTGCTTTTTTTTTCCCCAATCAGTAAGCTGGGGACATGTCCTTGTTTCAGCTGTGGTGCTGCTGCTGTGATGGTGGTTATAGGCCTGGCTGTGCTGTTTGGTAGGGGTTTAAATCGCAAGTAAGAATTAGCAGAGTGATTTTGCCAACGCTAATTTTAGCAAAAATCCCAGTTATGTTTTAATTGTTTTCATGTGGACTGCTTAGAAGAAACTGTCTTGAATAAAATAAAAATGTTCCTATGGCTCTATTTTCACGTGGCCACCATGTCAGCTCTGACATAATGATGAATGGCTTGGTTGATAAACAAACCCATATCGGTGATATCTGACTCTGTATTTCTCTCTAAGTACACTCAATGTGAACAAGGAAAAAATATTTTTATAAAAGTTGTTGTAATAAACAAATTGCAAGTTAAAGCATTTTGAAACATTAAAAGAAAAAAAAATGTCTTAAGGAGCACAGTAGCCCTTGGGGGCAATTTAAAGCCCACTGTACCCTTAATAGCTACTATAACTCAACTTAATTTTACCCATCCCATTGACTCCAATACATTTCAACTCTGCATTTTGCTCATCCCTAATCAGAATCCTGACTGCACAAAACTGCAGATCCTTTGGCAGGTAAAACAATTGACATAAAAGGGATATTTGTACCAAACACATGTTTTGACCATCTTGCTATTTCAAAGAATCTACCAACCAAAGCACAATGCTGTTGTAGTAGTAGTAATAATAATAAATTATTATTATTATTATTAATAATAATAAATATCATCATTAACTAGAGTGCATGTTTATTAACCACTTGCCTACCAGGCACTTATACCCCCTTCCTTACCAGGCCAATTTTCAGCTTTCAGCGCTGCCGCACTTTGATTGACAATTGCGCGGTCATGCAACATTGTACCCATATGAAATTTTGATCATTTTTTTCTCACAAATAGAGCTTTCTTTTGGTGGTATTTAATCGCCACTGGGCGCTTTACTTTTTGCGCTATAAATTAAAAAATGTGCAAAAAATTTGAAAAAAAAAAAAAAAAAGTTTATTTGTTTCTTTTATAAAAATTTTCAAACAGGTATTTTTATCTCCTTCACTGATTTGCGTTGATGAGGCGGCACTGATGGGCACTGATAGGCGGCACTGATGGGCACTGATAGGCAGTACACTAAAGGGCACTGATAGGCAGTACTAATGAGGTGGCACGGATAGGCGGCACTGATAGACAGCACTAATTAGGGGTCACGGATAGGCGGCACTGATAGGCGGCACTGATAGGTGACACTGATGATGGGTACTGATAGACGGCACTGACTGGCATCACTTCTGGGCACTGACTGGCGGCACTGACTGGCACAACCCCTGGGCACTGACTGGTGGCACTGACTGGCAGCACTGCTGGGCTGCACTGGTGGGTGGCACTGGTGGGCAGCACTGGTGGTTGGGCACAGGTGGGTGGCACTGGTGGGCACAGGTGGGTGGGCACAGGTGGGTGGCACTGCTGGGCACATGTAGGTGGCACTTCTGGGCACAGGTAGGTGGCACTGCAGAGTGGCACAGGTGGGGGCACTGCTGGGCACAGGTGGGGGCACTGCTGGGCACAGGTGGGGGCACTGCTGGGAACGGGTGGGCGGGGCTAGTGGGCGCACTGCTGGGCGGAACTTGCGGGTGTCACTGCTGGGCACCGATCATCAGGGCACTAATCATCAGTGCCCTGATGATCGGTGCCGATCCCCGCTCTGACAACTGCCGGTTCTCGGCAGTACTTTCCTCACGATCTGACAGCATGAGGAAAGTGCAGCCGAGAACCGGCACTTGCATTTACCTGTGATCAGCGTGTCATTGGACACCGCTGATCACGTGGTAAAAGGCCGGTGGGATCGGCCTTTCACCACATCACGTGATCAGCTGTGTCCGTAGGATACAGCGATCACGGAGATCGCCGGGTGTGCGCCCCCTGGGGCGCGCAGGAGAGCGCGTTCTGGGAGGACGTCATATGACGTCCACTCAGAACTGGCCGGCCGCGGTGAAGCCGTCATTCGGCTATGCGCGGTCGGCAAGAAGTTAAAGCCTCACAATTTGTATCTTTTTATAGTAATGTACCCCTCCAATGTTATGATTTGAAACTGTTTTTTAAATTCAGAAATCCTTTAAAATACTTTTATCTCTCAGTGAAAACAATGCTTCCTTCCCTGACACTGCAGTGTTCTGCTCTGTCATAATTGAGTAACAGCCACACCCCTCAGCACAAGTGTCCCCACACAGACTTGAATTTCACAGAAAGATTAGGCCCCATGTACACGGGACACTTCTGAACAATGGAAACTGACTGCTGGAAAACGTAGGTTAAAAACGTCTGTTTAGCCGCGTTTGCGTAATGAGTTTATGAGCATTTATGCGTGTTTATGTGCATTTGCATTTACAAACGTGTTTTAAAGATAAGCACTGGAGAACCTCTCAGATGCCCAGAATGCACTGAAAAGTGGTAAATTATTAACTATTTCAGACTGTTTCAAAGAACTACAGAGAGTAGAAGCAGAGACAGCAGTATGTGTTGAGATTAGCTTAGGCATGAGTTGCTCATTAACATTTCTTTTGTTTCCAGGGGTGGGAAAGGTGTCTGGTGGAGTGAGTCATTAAGGTCACCTGGCAGGGGGTCTTCATGAGGAATTTGAGTTGTGAATGGTCATTAACATATCTTTTGTTTTCAAGGGTGGGAGAGGTCTGAGGTGTGAATTGGTCATTACGATGTGTGACCAGCTTGGTAGAAACATCCTGTGTTCAGTGTTTTGTCCATTTGAGTACCTTGAAAATGCTCTGCCTGCATTTTTCATGATGAAAAATGGCTCTGGACAGCATTCGGAACTGGAAGAGTTAAAAAAAAAAAAATTGAAATGCAAACACTTTATAAATGCGATTTGCCGTGTTTAGCCGCGTTTTACAAGCATTTTGCGTTTGAAATACTGATAAAATGGACTGCTGAACCCAAGTTTTCTGCGTTCAAAAAAAAACGGCTGTAAACTCAAATGCCTGTAAACAACTGTAAACGAAGATGTGTACATGGACACATAGGAAAACATTAGGGAGAGTTCAGGGGCTGCTGAAAAAAACACTGAACAGCTCCTAAACGTGAGTTTATCAGCTGCAGTGTACATGAGCCCTAAGGGTGTGTCTGTCAAGGTCTGTTACTGAGTGCTGATTGCCAAATGCACTGGGTCTACTCCTATTGCCTATTAGACTTCACAGTCATAGACACAGTGGGGGTTATTTACTGAAACTGAAGAGAGCAAAATCTGGTGCAATTTTGCTTAGAAACTGATCAGCTTCCAGGTTTTATTGCCAAAGCTTCAATGAATATGCTGAAGTTAAAAGCTTCTTGGCTACAGCTGCTCCAAAATCTGAGTGCACCAGTTTTAGTAAATCTACCCCAGTGTGTAGCTGATGTAACGCAGAGATGAGACTGTAGAGATTAGACTATGAAAATGGGAGCATAATGTTAACCTGTGACTCCAGATATGCTTTAAGGTTCATGCATACAGACTTTTAGAGGCATCTTTTATGCCTAGCGTAAGTTTTCTGGCACTTTCCCATGCCAAGGAAGCTGCATGGGCTGTGAAAGTCTCACGTTTGGAAAATTTGTCAAAAGTGCATGTGTGAGTAAATGCCAATGCAAAGAATCATCTGTATTTACAAGAGTACAACCATTCACTTGTATGGCAGGCTGTATGCAATACATAGATTCTATATGGGCGTGAGAAAGCAATGGAGAGATTTATGCTGCATGACCCCTTAATATCTGGTTGAATCCTGGCGACATTCATCTACCGCCTACCCTTAACTCATTTCAGCTGAAAATTTTACAAATACATTTTTTAGTTCTTTTTAAGAGTTTTTCATAAGAAAGGTAAAAACAGTGCACCAACAAGGTGCCAAAGTGTACAAAAAGATACTGAGATATCAAAAAACAAAAATCAAAAAGAAAAACATAACATCAAAAAACATCCCCCACCCCAAACCCTCTCTGCTCCTCTGTCCTCTTCCCCTTGATGGCACAGCGGATGTAAACGGCCATAAGTAAGTATACAGTTCCAGTTGGCACAAAAAAGACAACAGTACCAGTCCCCAGATAGAGGACCTACCTGAGGAGACACCATCCATATCATTAATTCCAGGAGTTGCAGGATTATAAAATGAACAGTAAAAAAATCAGGGTGTATGGTAGATTTTTGCTGCATTACCCTTTAATATCTGGTTGAATCCAGGAGACATTCATCTACCACCCACCCTCAACTCATTTCAGCTGAAAATTTTAGAAATACTTTTACTTAAAATTCTTTTTATTGAGTGTTTCGTAAGAAAGGTAAAACAGTGCACCAACAAGGTGCTAAAGTGTACAAAAAGATACCAAGGTATCAAAAAACTAATTTCAAAAAGAAACATAACATCAAAAAACATCCCCCAACCCAAACCCTCTACTGCTCCTCTCTCCTCTTCCCCGTGATGGCACAGCAGATGTAAACACCCACAAGTAAGTATACAGTTCCAGCTGGTACAAGAAGAACAACAGTACCAGTCCCTACAAGAGGACCTACCTGAGAAGACACCATCCATATAATTAATTCCAGGAGTTGCAGGATTATAAAATGAACAGCAAAAAAAACCAGGGCATATGGTAGATTTATGCTGCATGACCCTTTAATATCTGGTTGAATCCTGGAGACATTCATCTACCACCCACCCTCAACTCATTTCAGCTGAAAATGTTAGAAATACTTTTATTTAAAATTCTTTTCATTGAGTGTTTCATAAGAAAGGAAAACCGTGCACCAACAAGGTGCTAAAGTGTACAAAAAGATACCAAGGTATCAAAAAACAAAAATCAAAAAGAAAAACATAACATCAAAAAATATCCCCCACCTCAAACCCCCTACTGCTCCTCTCTCTTCTTCATGATGGCACAGCGGATGTAAATGGCCATAAGTAAGTATACAGTTCTAGTTGGCACAAAAAGGACAACAGTACCAGTCCCCAGATAGAGGACCTACCTGAGGAAACAGCATCCATATCATAAATTCCAGGAGTTGCAGGATTATAAAATGAACAGCAAAAAACATCAGGGTGTATTGGAGATTTACGCTGAATGATTCCTTAATATCTAGTTGAATCCTGATGACATTCATCTACTGCCTACCCTCAACTCATATCAGCTCAAAATTTTACAAATACTTTTTTTTTAATTCTTTTAATTAAGTGTTTTGTAAGAAGGGTAAAAACAGTGCACCAACAAGGGGCTAAAGTGTACAAAAAAATACCAAGGTATTAAAAAAACAATTATCAAAAAGAAAAACATAAATTCAAAAAACATCCCTCACCCCAAACCCCCTACTGCACCTCTCTCCTCTTCCCCATGATGGCACAAAGGATGTAAATGGCCATAATTAAGTATACAGTTCCAGCTGGTACTAGAAGGACAACAGTACCAGTCCCTAGACAGAGGACCAGCCTGAGGAGACACCATCCATATCATTAATTCCAGGAGTTGCAGGATTATAAAACTAACAGTAAAAAAACATCAGGGCGTATGGGAGATTTACGCTGCATGATCCAAGTTATAACATCCAGACTAGACAGCCCGAGCCAGCAAAGGAAATCATGTCATTGTATCAGCATAAGAAAGCAAGTGTAGATAGGGTCAAACCTAGGCATTTGTGGAGGATGTGGATAACCAGCTTTGCCATACCTTATCAAACTTTTGGGGACAGTCCCTGTTAAAGTATGTGGCTTTAAATTTACAAATACTTTAAAGCTGAACTCCAGGCAGATATAAAAGAGACACATTAATGCAGCTCGTAATCATTAATATACCGTTACATGTATTTCTTAAATGCAAGCAGTGTAAATGCCTGAATTTAACCTGGTATCCGCCTCTTGAAGTCCCTGTACAGCAGAGCTGGAGTGTGAGAGGAAGAAGCAGCACAAGGAGCCAGTCAGTTAATGTGCTGAGAAGAAGCATTCTGATAGGAGGAGAAAGCATGAGATGAGCTCAACACTGTGCTGATTCTCCCTTCACTGTCCAGCCCCATGCTGGGGGCATTCATTTTTATGTTTCTATGCTTGGCTGGGGTTCTGCATTTAAGTGTATATCAAGCCAAAAACTTTTTATGGGAATAATTAGAGCTCTTCTTGGGTTGTTACTGCAATCCGGTACTTTGTTAGAAAGAGTTTCCTTCATTTCTTGTCCTGCTGACATATGTTTCTGTGAAGGAAAAGCTGCAACAAGAACATATACCGAAACAAAAACAGAGGTTCTAGCATTTCTGCAACTCTACTAGAGAAAACATATTGTTTTTGCTGTCTGTGTTGCTGTATAATAAAATGTTGTCATCAGGATAGAAAGTGAGGGTACATCTCTCTAACAGAGCCCTAGAAAGCAGTAAAACCTGACAAGCAAAGGAAAATAGCTTTGGCTGGACAAACATGTAAAGTATTTGTGAACCCGATTACAAACATCTGATATTATCTATAACATGTTAATGTAGCTAAAAAGTCATTTTCAGTTTTATTAATCATGCCATGAAGGTTCCTGTCTAGGCACTTCCTGTCATTGAGAGACAATGCTTTGCCCTGTCTGCCAATTGTTCACAACCAGATAGCCACCCTGACTGATGACATGCAGCTGGCTCAGGAGTACATATAGATAGGAAATGGCAGGAAAAAAAGCTGCATTTCCTAAAATAAAAAAAATCAAAGTTGTTTATAATACACAGAGCTTTAGAAAACTAAATGTCATATAAAGTGATTCTAAAGGCTTAATTAAAAAAAAAAAAAATAACAAACATGCTCTACTTACCTGCTGTGTGCAGTGGTTTTGCTCAGAGCGACCCAGATCCTCCTCTTCTCAGGTCACCTGCTGGCACCCCTGGCCCCTCCTTCCTGCTGGGTGCCTCCACAGCAAGCAGCTTGCTATGGGGGCACCTGCTGCTCCATTTTCCCTTCTCACAGAGCCGTGAATTGGCCCTGCCCCCTCTCTTCTCATTGGCTCACTGGAGGTGATTGACAGCATTGGGAGCCAATGGCTGCCGTCTCAGCCAATGAGGAGAGGGAGTCCCAGGATAGCCTAGACTCCAGTGCATCGCTGGATTGAGAGGGGGATTGGGTGAGTATTAGGAGGCTGGGGGGGTGCTGCACAGAGAAGGTTTTTTACCTTCATGCATGGAGTGCATGAAGGTGAAAAACCTTGAGTCTTTACAACCACTTTAATCAAGGTTAGGCAATACTTTAATGGGAGACTCCAGGTTTCTCTTGATAGTTTTACCTTTTTACTGTATAAATACAGGGTTTTGTTTTTGACTTTGTTTAGGCATGCTGTCATACTTCAATTATGTAACTGTTATGTGAATGTCAGATTTCAGGTGAACGCTAACTCCTGACTTTTTACAAAAGGTATATGATACGAGGTATACGAAAGGTAAATACGATTTTTGCTTAGACCTAGTTGTGATTGGTAACTTTAAGTAAAAGGCACCAACAAAGCCCAGAATGTCCGACGATTGGCCAAAGCTGTTGTTTAGAACATTTTTTGTTCAGGAACCAACACTTTGTTGTATTAGTGGTTAATTTATACTCTCAATCAGTTCCAGCTAAACCATGTATTGGTAGTTGTATAACCACTGCAAAGTCTAAAACTATTAAGAGTAGACCAATCACAGATAGTAAAAGCAAAAAGCATTTGTTTAGTATCAAACATTCTCTTGTGATAGTGGGTAAGTTAGACTCTCAATGAGTCCTAGCTAAATCATTTAATGACAGTTGTACATTTACTCCATAGACTAAAACCATTTAGAGCAGACCAACCAATAATAGTAAAAAGCAAAGGAGACCAAAAAACAATATCATACAATGTAAAGTGTTTAGTGCTGGTTGGTCAAACTTGGCCTAGAACATTTGTGGTTAGTACAAAAACTCTGTTGTCATAGTGACTAAGTTAGACTCTTAATC